TTTCAAGCAAAGACTACGTAGCCATGAGCAATGCAAATGACTACTACTTTCTCTTATAAATCAACACATTCACTCAATGTATTAGTTATTGAGCTAATATTAGATATTAGTTTGGGTTGTTTATCCTATTTAGTAGTTTGACCGGTATCTGCAAGAGGTTAGATGTTACTTACATAACCTTGAATTCCTTTAATATTTCTTTGATTACAGAAGAAATAAACCAGGTTTTTCTATTAACACAGTATTGGATTTAAAACTTTTTATTCACCTGCAAACTATTTATCCAACCTTTAGTGATGGATAAATGTCAAATCAATGACATTAAATACCTTAAAAGCTTGTGCTTCTAAGATTGTCCATTAGGTGGTTTTTAAGTAGCCTCATCACAGATCATTTTTCTTCTAAAATTTTTTGTTAAGGATATAGAAAATCTAGTCCACTAGGCCAATATCTGTACTTTGATTTAAATCCTGAATCATTCAAATGGAACAGGAAGGATCCTTACTTCCTACGTTCATAAAGCTTTTATCATTTACTTTAAGAAAAGAAAAGTCTTTTGTCCATTAATCTATCTCTTGAGAGTAATTGTGTTTCATCCTAAATGAGCCACAAAATTTGTCAGATAAAAGTAAAAGAAATAATACCAAGAGAAAGTGGTATTTTTTTGGTTTCAAATATAAATTTTTTAAAGAAATATTCATAAAAGTATTTTCCTACAAAATCCTTAGAGTGGTTAATAATTTGCTTTTAAGATATCTGCATATTTATTTTGTTATTAGTAAATACTGAACAATTATTTGTGAATGAATGAAAATGATCCTATGTTTATATTCTTGGCCAAAATGCACCATTCCCTTACATTTTGAGAGAAATAGGCAGTAATTAATTTATTCATTCTTCCAACATTTAAAGAGTTCTTATAGCATATTAAGCATTTTGTTAGATCTGAAGACGCAGAACTGAATAAGCTAATATCTTCAGTATTGGATCTTGAGTGTTCAAAATGTGGATGAAACAACCATGTGAAAAATAAAAAAGGAGATTTTACTAAATGTAGGGCTTATAATAACAGTATATAGCTTGTATTATGAAATTAAACCTAGTTATTAAATGTTCCCTTTCATTCAAATATTTATTTATAACATATATTATAAATATTATGTATAAGGTCTCACAATTAAGTTTATGAACTCATCCTAGAAAAAGTGCTAGATGCCTCATTGCTGAATATCACTGTGGTCACTGTTGAAGTCCTCCCCTTGGGCAGCCAGGCACTTTTGCCAACACCTGGCCCACCCTTCATATTACCATTGGTATCCTGAATATAATCAAAATGTCTTTCTCTCAGTATTTCCTTTACTTTGGGGTAAAGAGAAAAGTCGCTGGGGGCCAGATCTGAAGGAAAGTATTCCAATACTGTCATTGTTTAATGGCTACAACGTCCCTCACAGACAGTGCTATGTGAGTTGGTGCATTGTTGTGATATAAAAGCCATGAGTTTTGGGTGAAAAGTTCATGTTGGTTCATCTTTTTCACTCAACCTTTCAGCACTTCCAAATATTAACTTGGTTAACTGATTGTCTCATTGGTACAAATTCATAACAAACAATTTCTCTAATATGATAAAAGATCAGCAACATTGTTTCAACTCCATTTAAGGTAATGGAACTTTTTCTCATGGAGAATTGGCTGACTTCCATTGTGCACTTGGACAGTTTGTTTTAAGGTCATATTGATACACCTGTCATTCATCAGAGTATTAACATGGTCCAAAATACTGTCTTGCCTCTCTAAAATGCCTTGGCAACTTCAACTCTCCTTTTCTTTTGTTCATTGCTGAGCTCCTTAGGGACCATTTTTACACACACCTTTCTGGGGCCAAGATTTTCAGTTAAGAATATCTTATCTAACCCTTTCTCTGTCGATGTTTACTTGATCTGCTATGTTTGTCACAATTGAAAATTTTAACAAACAATTACATGAATTTTTGCAATGATTTCATCAGTTCTACTGGTTACTGATCACTCTGACCTCTCTTAATTAGTGACAATTTCTCTGCCCTCAGAAAAATGTTTGATCTCTTTATGCTCTGCCCTTGTCTTCATGGCATTATCCCCATAAACTTGGATTAACATGTCCCTTATTTCACTCCGCTCAGACTAGGTTTAACATGAAATTTAATGTTTGCTTGTTGCTCCAATTTAAGCTCCAGCATTCTCAGGGCACACAGAAATACACAACAATAATGATGAAGGCCACTTAGCACTACACTGCCACATGAGGCAGAGCACATCTGTGAGACACTGAGAAATCAGGGTTATGAAACCTGATCAAGCTGTTTGTATAGTGCTGCCAATGTAAGGGTACAGTGGCAAGTTATTGTGAACTTAATTGTCAGAACTCATCCATATAAAAAGAAATTTATTATAAGAAATAGTCCACATGATTATGGAGGAGGGCAAGCCCCCAAATTTCCCAGGTGAGTCAGCAAGCTGGAAACCCAAAAGAGCCAAGGTTTAGTTCTACTTTGGCTCTGACGGCCTGAGAGCCAATGGAGTTGATGGTATAGTTTCTGTCCTTGGGCTGCAGACTGAGACCCAGAAAGACCAGTGTTTCTGTCCTAGTCCTAAGGTAGGAAAGAATTCTCTTCTGCTTAGAGGAGAGTTAGCCTTCTTGTTCTATTCAGGCTTCCAACTATTTGACTAAGACCCCTCCACATAATAATGGGAAATATTCTTTACTCAACCAACTGGCTTAGATGTTAATATCATTCAAAAACATCCTCATAGTATCCCCAGAATGATGTTTGACCACGTAGCTGGACACCCCAAGGCACAATCAATTTGACATAAAATTAACCATCACAGACAGCCAAGTTAACATTATTGTTTCCTGGAATTATACTTTTTGTATCTTTATTCTCCTACCCTTTTTCCTGGAAAAGAAAATATTTGTTTCTTAGGGACAGTGCTTGTGGCTCAGTGGGTAGGGTGCTGACCCCATATACCTAGGATGGCGAGCCTGGCCCCTGCCAAACTGCAACAAAAAATAGGCAGGCGTTGTGGCGGACGTCTGTAGTCCCAGCTACTTGGGAGGCTGAGGCAAGAGAATCACCTAAGCTCAGGAGTTGGAGGTTGCTATGAGCTGCGATGCCACAGCACTTTACTGAGGGTGATAAAGTAAGACTCTGTGTCTACAAAAAAAAAAAAAAAAAAATTAAAAAAAATTAATGATGGGGAAATAAATAAATTTTGCTATTGGTATATTTTGTTCAAGGTCAAAAGTCTACAGGTGTCAGTTTGATCAGAACATTTCTGGTTCCTTCCTCTCTCACTGTATTGTTATTACTAGCTTCTCTTTCGCCTTTTAAAATGGCCTGCTCTGGAGACTAGATTACATGCTAATCCTAGGAAATAACTGGTTTCATGAGTGATGATAATTGAAAAATCAATGAAGTATATTTAAATCTGCCATTCCTTTTTTTTTTTTGTTCTGTTAAAAATATAATAAATACTTACCATGTCAAATTAATTTTTTTCTGAGTGATTTTGCACCACAATTATTTATCATGATGTATATGGAATGCCTATTGGTAACCAGACTTTCATTTTTCATTATATTAAATATATTTTCTTGTTTGAAGAATTGGGAAAGAATACATGTGAAAGGTAAATAACTTTGAAATATGACATAAAGTCTTCCATAGAATCAGAGTATATAGTCCCATATATGACCAATCTAAATAAACTTTTCTTAAATGTGATAACTAAACTGAAATTACATAATTGAATGTTGTTTAAGTGCCTCCAAAATCAGAGAATGAATATAACATCAGGGCCGTTCAGTTCTATTATGACTAAGGGAAGGGTGAGAATAATTATGACAATCTGGAAAGTTCAGAACCTGTTTTGTTGCTTGTGGAGAATGTGGAGATAAGGCAGAACAATTCTATGATGGCTGTGGAGCAGACAGTGCCGGGACTAGCAAAATCCCATAAAAAACCCAGTGTGTTGGCTCGGCACTCATAGCACAGTGGTTACAGTGTTGGCCACATACACCGAGGCTGGAGGGTTCAAACCCAGCCCAGGCCAGCTAAACAATGACAAATGCAACGGAAAAATAGCCAGGCTTTGTGGCAGGCACCTGTAGTCCCAGCTACTCAGAAGACTGAGGCAAGAGTATCTCTTGAACCCAAGAATTTGAGGTTACTGTGAGCTGTGATGCCACAGCACTCTACCGAGGGTGACATAGTGAGACTCTGTCTCAAAAAAAAAAAGGGGGCGGGTTGTTTATATTGTCTCTTGCTTTAAGCTTATTTTTCAATTCTATCTGTGTATTGATTAAATAATATTACCTGTCATACAAGTTATAAATATAAAATTTTGAAGTATTCATGAGTACGTTTTCACTAGGGATGATTTTATTGTTAAATGGAAATAAATCATTTTCTATCTGTTATGTTATAGCACCCCATAAGTAGCTATTTGAAATGACTTGCTAACTACTTCAGAGCAAATGGCACGTGATTGGTGCTGGATTAGTGCATTTTCAAAAAAGATTCTGCATAGTGGTTATAAGACAGTAGTTGATCCTGAGTTCATACGCTGGGTTCCTTATTGTGAGTCCCCAGTGTTCCAGCAACAAAGAAAGTGTTATTATTCAAATGCATTCAGTCCATAATAATAGTATTCACAGCCATCTATAAATAGTTGAAGAAACAATTGTATGAAGTGCTTGATATTCATCTGAACCACTTTTTGCAATTTCATTTTTAAATTCAGATTTCAGAAATAATACAACAGTGGTGCCCATAAGATAGGCAGATATGCAGACAAGGTGGTAGTTTCTTAAAATCACACCTTTTGTTTTACCAAATCTGAGAAACTCCTAATAATGATATACAATTAGGAGGACTATATAAGAAGTGTTGAATATACAGCATGATGCACCACTAAGTATACGTGTTTAACAACCTGTCTTAATATTCTGCTTTGTCCTAGATACACCATCAGTGAAGATTATACCATCCACTCCCTTTCCACAAGAAGGACAGCCTTTAATCTTGACTTGTGAATCCAAAGGAAAACCACTGTAAGTGAATTAATGAGCAATAAAGTTTTTTACTTCTTTTTCTATCCCACTTTGATTACAGGCTTTAACTGTAGAAATCTACTGTTTTTGTCTTTTCCGGGTGGGGGAAGGGATCTCTAGAACAGAGAAACTCCTGAACCATGTCTTCATTAAGTGTCTATGCAAGATTGGTTTTTACTTTGTCATCTAGTGAAGTTTCTGGGAAGTTTTCCAGCTGTGATTTTCCTTTTGCTTTTTTTTTTTTTTTCCAATAACATATTTCAACCTGAAAAGACTGTAGGTTTAATCAGCCACTGTTTACATTGAAATGGATAAAAGCTGCACATTGCTGAGCTAAGTTCTCCAAGGAGCAACTTTGAAAATATAGAAACATCCCCACCATATGTCAGAGTTTTAAGGTTACATGGGAAATCATTTTCATAATAAGAGAAATCAAGTCTGTATTTCTTATGTGGCAGCCATTAAGGCATAATTTGTGAATGTGATATACATGGAAGTAACGTGAATGAATTGCATTTCACAATTATGAAGAGATTATGTTATTAGAATATGTGGGCACTAATGTCCCTTCAACTTTAAACCTTTACTTTTGGGCATTCATGTTTATAAACCACTCATTCAAAGAATACCTATTTAAATATAGATTATTCAAGTAATCTGTTGTTACTATTGAAACCAGTCTGGGCGTGATGGCTCACGCATGTAATCCTAGTACTCTTGGAGGCTGAGGTGGGTAGATTACCTGAGCTTACAGAATCGAGACCAGCCTGAGCCAGAGCAAGACTTTGTCTCTAATATAGCCGGGTGTCGTGGAGGGCACCTATAGTCCCAGCTACTTGGGAGACTGAGACAAGAGAATGGCTTAAACCTAAGAGTTTGAGGTTGCTATGAGCTATGATGCCACAGCATTCTACAGAGTGTGACAAAGTGAGACCGTCTCCAAAAAAAAAAGAAAAGAAAAGAAACTATTGAACCCAATGTGATCATTATAATGTACTAACACTGTAGTCTAGGCCTAGCTTATGTAATTTATGTACTTTTTAAAAACTTCCAGTAGATATCCATTTTGTTCAAAAATTGTAATAGGAGTAATTTAATCATTCTCTGTACAGAAGTATATGGGATTACTTCTCCAAATCAGGCTAAATTACTAAAAATTTGCTTCCAAAAATATTCACGTTATTTAAATGTAGGTTTTGTATCATCCCATGAGGAACTTTTCTAGCAGAATTGTGAGACATCTGGCATTTTAACTTCCTCAGTTTTATGCAGCTTGATTATTTACCACTCTAAAGAACAAAACTCAGAATAAGAGAGACCTGTGCCTGTCTTTTACAGCTCTTAGACAAAAAACAATCAAGCCCTATCCAGATTTCATCTCTTGTCTTCAAGACATAGCTGAAAAGACCATCCTAGATGACCATGACAAGAAAACTGTTGTCAAATTGATGACATATAAACAGACAAACCTTGACTGCCAATCTACAATTCAACCTATGAAAGAAAAGATTCCTCTAAGAAGAGATGTGATTACAAGTTACATTACAGCCTGTGAGGGAGTTGGAAACACTGCACATACAACTGTAGTAATGACTCAAGCCATGACAACAATTCAAATCAGAAAACAATTCCCAAATTTTCTAAAACACGTTCTGATTGTGATCAAGGAGAACATATTAAAAAACAGTGCCCACAACAAACATCTCAGCTATCACAGGACAATCAGAAAACTCATAGAAATACACTTCCACCAAAGATTTGCCACAGATACAAATAAGAGAAACAGTAAATAAAAGGCTGCCACTCTAAATTTAATAAAGTCAAAAACCCACCCTCTGCAGTTCAAAAAGGCAGAGAGAGGGGCCAGCCCCAGGCCCCAAATCAAAATGAGGTAACTCCAATTTAGTAGTTTGTCCCACAAACAGTACAAACTATGACAACAATGATGTCCTTGCAGTGAAAAAAAAAAAAAAAATCAGACACCAAATCCTACACCTCAATACAATAGTTGTCACCTCCCACAGCAGACAGTAAAATAGTAGATTTATGTTGTGTGCAAGATATTTCCCCTATGTCAAGACAGAGCCTCTTAAAATTTCTACAAGAGTTTGTGGGCCTTTCCCCAAAGGGACAGTGGGATTCTTATTGGAATAGTCAAGTTTAAATTTAAAAGGAATAAAAGTTTACATTAATTAACTCTGATTATACTGATAAAATTCAAATTATAATTAACTCAAGTGTTCCTTGATAGGCTCAAGCCAGTGGCCATATTACTCAATTATTTTTATTGCCCTATGTCAAATTAAAAAAATAAAAAGCTCTAACAAAAAGACGGGAGGTTTTAAAAGTAGAGATAATATGAAAAAAGCCGTTTATTGAGTTATTCAAGTTACAGATGAGAGACTTGTATATGCTGTTACTATTAAAACAACAATTTCAAAAAATAGTAGATACAAGAACAAATGTTTCCATCATAGTCTTAGATGAGTGGCCCAAGTCTTGGCCCAAACAACAAGCCATGGCTGGCTTAGTTAGGGTAAGTCAAACAGTTTAAATTTATACAAATTTATTAATTTTACAATATATAGGTCCAGAGGGACAAAAAGACACTATCAAGCCCATGATTACCCCCATTCCTATAAACTTATAAAAAAAAAGATTTATCACACCACTCAAAGTGAATCCACACCTTCCTCACCACAGTTCTGATATTTTAAAATTGTTCTCGCTTCTAGTAATTATTTTCTAGAGACTTTTAAAGTGTTTTCTTCTCAAGGCTTATCAAAAAACCTATGTGTGCATTTAGCGTAAGTGTTCCATTTATGCAAGTAAATGAGGTGAAGGTAGGAAATGTGATTTATAGAATGCTTGTAAATAACTAGATACATGCTCAGATATTATCTAATTATGTTACGATGAGATACTGTCCATAGTAGAAACATCATTTTATTTCTAAGAATAATCAGATTGCTAAGTTCATATAATTAGATATTTAAGTAGTTCATAACATTTACCTTACATATGGTTAAATAGATGTGTCTGTGGATTTTTTGTCAGTTACCAATGAATAATTTTGAATATGTAATAATACTATGTGTGAATGAAAAACACAATCTTGTCTTATTTAAGAATATAAAAGCTTTTAGGAAGTTTAAGAAATAAAAAGTTACATTCTTAGAAGGATCCTGATTATATAATTTGGGAAATAGATCAAGAAAAGTCTATTTCAAAGAAAAGAAAACTAAGGTTCAAAAATATTAACCATATTTCCATGTTTTTTCACATTTATTAATAAAATTAATAAATCAGAATTTGAATTCACGTCAGTATAAATCAAAGCTTCCATTCTTTCAATTATTCGCTGCTGCATACATTGCTGAATATAAATTGCTATTTATGGTAGCCAAAGTTGCTTTAGAAAAATAAAAAGGGCCTAACAATTATTTTCACCACGGATGTTGAACCTCTGAGTGCTCCAGGGTGAACAACTGGCCTGTCTCATGATACATTTTACCATTGCCATCCTCCTATATCAGGCTTTGCTCTGTATTTATATTTTTTCTGAACACTTGCCACATTTTTATCAAACTGATCATTTCTAGCACAAGTTCATAGTCATATTAAAAACTTATATGTAGTATAGTATTCTTTGGCAATGAATTCCTAAGCTCCATGAAGGCTAAAACATGGTCGTTATATTTTATCTTTATTTTGATAGGTTCTAATGTTATATTCTATATGCTGTGGCCAATATGCAAATATGTATTAATTCATTTTCTTGTATTATATCCCCATTATTCACTTTACCTTTATCATTTTCTTTCACTTTAGACTACCAGACCATTGACGTAAAAGTTATAGTCAAATTTTTTGATCTCTTTTCCTTTAGACAGTTGCTTCTTTTTTATACTTACAAAACATCTTGGAATTAACTCATCTACATTTTCAAAGTAACTATCATGTTCCTTAAATGAAAGCATTCATCTCTTTAAAGACAGTCTAACTTGGATAGCACCTGTTGCTCAAGGAGTAGGGCGCCAGCCCCATATACCTAGGGGGCGGGTTCAAGCCCCGGCCCTGACCTAAGCTACAAAAAAAAAGAAAAGAAAAAGACAGTCTAACTTTCAGACTCTCTAGTTTGTATCCTATCTCTAGCAGTGCCAGATGAGGCAGAAGGGACAAAAAAGAAGGGGAGGCTGGGGCAGCGCCTGTGGCTCAAGGAGTAGGATGCTGGCCCCATATACCAGAGGTGGTGGGTTCAAACCCAGCTCCAGCTGCAAAAAAAAAAAAAAAAAAACAAGGGGAGGCTGAAAATATATCATTGGATGAAATCTTACCGATACTAAGATACTAAAGAAAAGCCTCATGAGAGCAAAAGGAACAGACACTAAGTTGAAATGGATTAATCGGGAGTTAGGATGCGGTAGGGAAGGGAAGAGCATCACTTAGAGGTAGATCATTTCAGAAAATGCATCATGCAAAGTGGAAGAAGGATAAGAAAAACTATGTCAAAGACAAGTTTTAAAATAAAACATAATTTCAAGAAACATAATCAGAAGACTTCTGTATTTTAAGATAGGATCAAAAGAATCGGAGTAAAAATGAAGTGTGAGTATACCAAGTGGGCCTGTTAGAATTACCCATTTTAATCTGGTAAACACAATCCAACTTCCTCTCTATTACTTTGCAGCCTTTGCGCTGATTCTCTGTTTCACGTTAGCACCACTGAGATGCAGCACTATGGTCAGCTTTTGACCGGCTCCCTCAACACTTCCTTATTATTATCTTTACCACTTACCTAATCCACCTGTCAGGGACAGGTAGAGACAGAAAGGAGTAACGGCTGCATGATTGTTCTCCATCCTGTTCTTGAATTAAGTAATATCTCAATCTATGACCAAACCTTTGTTATTTCTTGAAAAGTTTTTGACCAACCTATAATTTCCTGAAGAATGGGTTATTCATGGTAATTCGGTATGTTGGAAGTAGACACAACTCAC